TATGATTACCTCTTTAGTGGCTAAATTGGGGTGTGCTCATCTGCAAATCTTTTTTATGGAAGGCCTTACTTTTCAAGGAGGCATCGCTTGATTGGGAATTTTTTTTTCTCTTAAAAATAAACAGCTAGCTTGATCCAATATTCTCAGTATCAGATAATTTCAAAATTACTGTCTAAACCTAGCTTAAATATCTTCTGGATATATAATATCCAGTCGATTTTCAGTTGACAAGCAGGAAATAACATCTGGAATAAAGAACTTAAAATAGCTATATTTGACTACTAAAAAATTTAAAGAAATAGATAAACACCCATTAACAAAATTTTGTTTGTCATAAAGTCTCTATTTTATTGGCAACTGAAATAACATTGCCTTGACTTTTTGGATCTATCTCTTGTTTTAGATCAATATCTCCTTTCAGGTCTAGATTAAGATTTTGAGTGATTATTCTGTCTTTCTCAAAAATTTTTTATCAAACAATAGCAAGAATCATTAGCACATCACCTCAAAGTAAACTCATTTCTTTGCATCTTCAAGTGAGAAATTGAGACATAGGGTAACAAAACTATTTTGCTACCTGAAGAAGAATTTCTCAAAGGAGACATTTGAAAATTCCAAGGTTTATCCAGATGGTCCACATCACATGAAATTCCTTTCCTCCTCATTTTTTTTGCTAACTCAAATCAAAAGCATCCTTCATATCTGAGGCCTTTTTGGAAGGAGGTCTTGCTTCTACTTGCAGGCATTTGCTGAATTCTCAAGGCAATGGTTTGTACCATTCACTGAGCATGTGGAGATGTATGACTTAACTCCTTCTTGCTATGTTGTAATCTCTATAAGAGATTTGGCTTTATGTTTCTTATTTCCTCTTATATTTGTGCTTAATACCTGAATTATGGATGGATTGTCTCTGGATGTATACTCTTTTGGATATTAACCTCTCCTAGAATGTTCACAAAATATTTATTCTCCTTCAGGGTAAATGAATTTGTACTGTATTTTCTTCTTTTTTAAATACGTAAACAGTTGGGAGTTCAGCTTATAATGTTGGTCAATAAGTAAATACCATATTATATCAAAAATAAATATATTGTCTCATATCTGCCTTAGACTACCCCAAGCTTCACAGAGACTTTGCAGTTCTATGAGAACAAGCCATTAGATACATTTCTATAGTAAAAAGGCATGAGCTGGTTACTGATTGCCTTATTTGAGTCAACATGCACAATTGCAGAAGCTATCAGGAGAGGACCTGGGGCTGGCCATGACACCTCATATATATTTTTAAGTGAAATGCTGCTGTCAATTAGGTGAAAATGAGAACTCAAGCCCATAACCATAAAAACCCACTTTGAATCTGACACCTGCTGAGATTGGCATTCATTTGCGATCTTAATGTTGCTGGCATAATGAACCATTCCCATTTCTAGATTAAGGGTTTTAATAGACTGTGCCAACAAGTTGACTTAAGCAGGTGATGATGAGTGTGGCTGCCTTGCTGCTTTGGTTGGATCAAGGAGAGGCCTGGGCTGTGGCTTGCTAGTGATCCCAGAGCAGCAGTCAACCCTGGGCAAACTCTGTGAGCTATGATTTCCTACATGACTTTCTGAGTCATCCAGAAAAAATTGGAACAGTCATATTATTGGGATGTGGATGCCTGATTTTTGTCAACCTTGTGGAATTTATAAGTATTTATTGAGCCATCTGCTGTTAACACAACAGTTTACCAAGTACTAGCGCTAGCGTAGGTCAGTGGTTCCCAATGTTTTTGAACAAGAGATCCTCTTTTAATGTATTTTCTTAGTCAGTGGCCAAATTGTGTATAAAATGGAAAAAAGCTTATATTTAAACTTTTAAGGGTTGAATTAAAAAAATAACAATCTACATGCAATAGGTAGTATGTGAGAGATATAGTATGTAACATTGTTAGCCTCAGAAAATTATACAACATGGAAACAGATTCTTGTATCCCTTTCAGCAAATTCATGGTCATTCAGGGTCCAACTGTTACTCCAGCATCTTCAGGTTGGAAAATGCCGATATAATCTCATAGATGGAACATAGCCATATTAATATAAGTGGCATTTGTTGGATTTTTAACTTTCAGAATCAGAATTTGGGACTATGTAATTGCTCAATTCTGAGACAAGTAGTACACTAGTCCAATGTCACAATCTTGGGGTTATCTGAAGAAATATGTTCTTAAAGTTAAACAGTTTTTTTCTTAGCTTTCTTGTGCTCAAATTATGCCATATTTTGGTTTATTTCATGCCCTGATCAAAACACTTTTAATCATTGTATGTTTTGCTTGAAGCTTTCAATTATCTTTCATTTTTGGTGGTTAAGATGAAAAATATGTCTTCCTTAAAGTGTTACTAATATCTCCTTGCTTCGTGTTTACTCTATTACCTGGAATCCAATTCATTCTACTCTTAAATATATTGCTTTGTAGCCTTTGTTTTCTCTTGTAATATAAACTGATTTCTTTCCAGATGTGATAAATAGCTGTCATTTGGGGATTTATTTCATTGGATTCCTGATTAATTACATCATCTTTCATCGTGCGTCTTCTCTTGATTTTAACCCCCATTGGGCTGGAATATAGCTTCAAGAAACTTCTGAAGAATGAATCCATGGGAGGTAAATATTCTTTGACAGTTTGACAGAATATTAAATTTAATTTTAAAATAATTTTCCCTCAGAATATTAATGGCACTGTGCCACTATTTTCTAGTGTTTCTGATGAAAGCTGTGATACAAGCCTAGTTCTAGTCCTTTGAATATTGGGTTGCCAAATAAAATAGCCAATAAGCTACATTTAAATATAACATAATCATCAAATAATTTTTTAGAGTAAGTATGTCCCATGGATTGTGTGATATACCAGGCAAACTTATATTAATAAGTTATTAATTGTTTATCTGAAATTCAAATCTGTGAGTTCTGTGTGTTTATTTGCTAAATCTGGCAACCCTATTTGAGGGCCAACCACTTGCTCTCCTCCAAATGACTTTCAGATCTTCTTACTACTCTTTCTGTTTTGAAATTTCTTAAAGATGTGTGCAAATGTGACTTTTAAACAAAATTCATGCTGCCTAGCACTTGTTGGATCTTACAATCTTTTTCAACTCCAGAATCTTCTTCTATTATTTCTTTAATCACTTTCTTTTGTCAATTATATTTGTTTTCCAGAATCTTAATTAGCTTGATGTTGGGCCTCCTGAGTTGCTTTTATAAGTCTCATCTTCTTACTTCTGTTTTTTGTACCTGTCTTTTTGTTTTGTGTCCTGGAAATTTCTTCAATTTTATATTCTATAGTGTTTGGTTATAAAAACTTTAATTTAGAAGAATTCTTTGTTATTCTTTGAACTATCATTCTCTTAGAATCTTAGCTTTCATTTATGGATGTACCAGTTCTCATATATCTTTAAGGATATATGAGTGTTTTGGTTTTGGTTTAGTTTAAATTCTTATCCATTTCCTGAATTATTTCTATTTCCTTTGAGGTCAATTCTGATTGCTTATCTCAATCTTTTTTTTCTAGGCTGCTACTTTATTCTCATGTGTTTGGAGATCATTGCCTATTCACATTTAGGAATAAGGAACAAGGTAAATGATTCTAGGAAATGGATAAGGTTTCCTCTGTTTTGTACTTGTGCTCTCAACAGAGAAGATGACAAGAAGCTCTACATGTGCAGGTAGACCTTACCAGACTCTGATGAGTGTGAGTAAATGAGGTGCTTGGAGTCTACTATATGTGAAAATTGGCAGTGTTCTAATGCTAACTGGTCTACTTCTCCCAAGGCAGTTCTTTTTTTTAGACAACAGATATATTTTCCCCCTAGGAATACAGCTGTGCTGCCTGTTGCCTCAGAAGGGTGCACTTATTCCCTTATCTGTCTGTTCTCTAGACAACGTTTTTGTTAACTCTCTTATTATTTATTTATTTTTTGGCTTCCATTCTTATTCTTACAGTTGCATCCTGTTGGCTCTAAGTCTGGAATGTAATGTCCTCTTGCAATTATTCTGGTCTGCAAATTCTTTCTCTTTGTTCTGATTTTTTGTCTTCCAGAGATTTATTGGATTCATGAATCCATCAGCGATACCCTCTCATTTTCTTCACTGTTATTGGTTTACTCTATTAAGACATTTCTCAGGGAGGGAAGCCAAATGCATGTACTCAGCCTGCAATCTTGAACCAGAAGTTTTTCCCTTTTATTCACTTTCTACCATTTCCTTCTGATTGTCCTAGAATGAAAATATTTTATATTTGCATGGGTTAATTTTGGTTTGCAAAATACACTTTCATGCATTCTCATTTACTCCTCAGAAGTTGAAATGCATGTTTTTCTAAAAATAAATATCTTAAAATAATATCTCATATATGTTTCAAAATAATGAAATGACAAGTTATATATGAATACACCTAGCATACTACCTGGTATGGATTAACTTTTTAATAAGTACTGTGTCTTTTTTATTATGTTGTTTTCATAATCTAGAGCTCAAGTACACATTTCTAATGTTGATATGAAGACATATTTGGAAATGTGTTGCTTGAAAAAGAGATTAAAAAGTAACTACTCCTATCTTGTGATTAGGATTAACGAGAAAATTCTCATAAAATATTGGGAACTCAGAGTCAAAACTTACCATGAAACTGTTGACAGCCTTTATCTTATTGTAGCTAACACTGTTAAACTTTTCTTATGCAGTGGAAAGCTACAGGTTTGTTAAACTGTCGAGTTATTAAATCAGGAATATGTCACATGATTATGATTTATAAATGAAATCCCTGAAGACCAGAGGGGTGAAGAAATTTTCTCAATGTTATATAGCAAGTAAGTTACTGAGCCAGAACTCAAACCCAGATCTTTTGACTTCAAACCAGTGCTCTTTTCTTTACAGCACAAATTCATGGCCTTTTAAGAGAAAATGTAATGCATAAGATTGAGAGTGTTCTATTATATTAATAACTATTGATAATATTTTATTTGCAGTGAAATTGTATGCTTTAACAAGCCAAGTCATTGATGGTGAGATGCAGTTCTATGCCAGAGCTAAACTTTTCTATCAAGAAGTACCAGCCACAGAAGAGGGTATGATGGGAAATTTCATTGAACTATCCAGCCCAGATATCCAGGCCTCTCGGAAATTTCTTAGGAAATTTGTTGGGGTAAGTTATCCAACTACGACTTGATGAGAAGGCAAATCCTTGCAAACATTGAGCTCATATGCCTCTGAGTTGTCTCTTAAGTCAGGTTAAAGCCATATGGCTCAGCTGAGAGTTCAGTCAAAGTCTATTTTAAGATGTTCAGAAAGGATGAACCACATCAAATCACTGGTTTATCCCATTTGGCATTTCATTCTCCCATCATCAGTAAATCTTGTATGCTTCAGGGGAAGGTGAACTAGCAGTGCTGACATACAATTTGGGAATTAAGAAGACATCTCTTTTAGAGTCTCATAAATAAGCAGTTTGCACCCAGATGATTGATGAGAAATCATGCCCTTTGGGATCTTGGATTTACTTATTGATTCTCTGTGATAAAAATTAGATGTAGTAAGAAAATGCATGCTTATGTTCAGTTTAGAAATTATAAGGACACTAGGATCCCTTTACATTATTTTATTTCAGATTTTGCCTTAGAAGATTGCTAGCCTTTTGCAGCCCTGGGATTGAGTGAACCCCACGTCTTCACTTTCATGTCATGTGGAGATAGACAATATAATGTAGGGGCCAAAGTCTTGGGCTCTAAAGTTATCATGGTTCTTCTGCTTTAATGCATGAGCAACCTTGGGCTTGTTACTTAATTGTGCTAAGACTCAGTTTTCTCATCCGTAGACTAGGGCATGACAATGGAAGCTACTTCACAGGATAATTGAAGATCAAATGAAATACTATATGTCAAGTACCTGTTTTAATGCACAAAATTAGTACACAAGAAATCTATTGCTACTATTAATAATAATGGGCTTTCATGTAATGTATTCATTATATTTTAAGGAACTTCATTTAGTTGTTAAAATAGATTTAACACCCACAATAAAGCTGCTTTTGGTCCCACTGAAGACACACAATCTTAATTGGCAACAGATTTTGTTACAATTCACTGCAAAGTTATTTGTCTGAAACTTGGAGCCCATTTAATTCTGGCAGATAAAACATTCATTAGCCGTGAAGTTAGGCTGTCAACTTATTTAGCGGCACAATATCAAGAATATCCCCAATGTTGAGGTCTAGTTTCACATTCAACCTTCCGGGAGCACCCAGTGCCTCAGTCCGGAGCCTGGCATAGAGAAATGTGATCAGGATGGGCTATCCACTGGGGCCCAAAATGTCTGGACATCTGCTGCTGCAGCCACCACGGACTAGGGAATCTAAGGTTGATGGCCAAGGGTGTTTACAAATTAGGTTAACCTGGAGTATTGCTAAGTAAGTGTCGTTCTGAGATGGTCAGTCACTCTGCTAAGTGCTTTAGAAGCATTGTCTCATTTTACTCTTCACAACAATTCTTGGAGGTAAGTGCTATTATTAGCTCTGTTTTTACATTTGTGGAAACTGAGGCTTGGAGAGGCTAAATAAGTTGTCAAGGTTACATAGCTAGTAAGATACAGAACTGGAAGTTAAGCCCAGCCAGGTCTGTCTGACATCAAATTCCTTGCTCTTAACCATGACATGTTTTTTCCATTTGTCTCATGAAGCTGCCTTTTTTTTTTTTTTCTTGATGTACCATAGACCTCAGCTCTCCTCCAGTCTGGCCCAAAGCAATCCCTCCTGCTTGCCTCGTGGTGAGGCTGATTTTGATCCCACAGCATTTCAGAAGCTTAGTTAGTAATCCAGCTGTCTTGTCACTCTGTGTGGAATGCCAGGCTGACCACAGGGATGCTGGTCAGACAGAGCCCATAAGCACGCCCACGGACCTGGGAAAGGAAACAGCCTTGTGCTTGCATATTTATGTTGGAAAAGAGGCCGCCTGCTCCTTTCAAACAAATATAAGGAGCCCTTCTTAGTAGACAAGGCTCATTGTAAAGCTGTGATCTCTAACTAAGTACAAACACGGTCCTTTTGGGGAATGATATTTCGGTACCTTGACCTTAATACAGTAATCTACTAAATTAGTATCCAGGTCAAGATATATGGAGTTAGGGAATATGAGTATCTGACATGATTTATTATTATGTCAACTGTGAAAAGGCAGATTGTTTAAAGTTTTGCTCTCCTTTCAACACTTAGTGACATGGGACAGTGGGAAAAGGAGTTTACACTAGTTGCAAATGTATTTACTTTAGCAAGTAAACAAATGATACCAAGGGGATGTCAATTGTGTAACTGATAACTTTCCTCAGTTTTAGCTTTCTAGTGGAAGAATGTAGCAATTCATAAAAAGTCATCAGTATTTTTTTCAAGTAATCAGTATTTGATGGTATTTATTTGTTGACATTTTTCAGAGACTGGATGACTAAAAAATCTGGGTCTAACTTGTTATGGTTTTTATGCCGTGGCACAAAGCACTTCAATTTTAGTTTTTAACTCCACAGAGTGAATTTAAAATATCATTCTTTAAAACAAAAACATAGTCAAAATCAAAACTAAAAAGGAAATTTCTATTAGTATTTTACTATTTTATATTAATCTATAAATGTGAAGATGACATAAACGAAAATAAAAAAAAAGAAAATGTCTGGTTTTGAAATCACACATTGTATGCAGATCTAGTCACATTCGTGTAAGGGCAACAGATTTCCGTACAATCACAGCTTTGGGCAGCCATGGTATTTAGGAGGCAGAGATATCCCTGAGATCAGTCTCTAAATATCTCTTCTTAGAGGAGCTGGATGTGAATGAGAGACAGAGAAAGAACCCTGGGACCAAGATATGGGTGACAGTGCCAACTGTGTAGAAGGAAATGTAGTAGAGGGAACTTGGTAATACTAAGGAGAGGCTAGAGGCACCAGGATTTGAGTAAAAGGCACCATTTTTGTGTTTGTAAGTAGCTTCAAGAATAACTGTAGTCAAATACCACACATCAAAATTGGAGAAAAACACTAATTAGAAAATGATGGTTTTCCAGAAATTTTCATTTTAAAATGTTACATCTCTAAACTTTAGCTTCCTTGTCTGAAAAAGCAGGCAAATTAGGCATCCGTGATTTAAAAACTCTAGAGTTTTGCTGAGATGCTTCAAGGTCTTCCTTGGAGAATGTTGGGAAGGCTGATGGTGGGTGAGGCCCTGCCTCAGGTTAATCAGAGTAGTTTCATGTTTATCTATTGATTGAGAAAAAAAAAGCTCAGTTGTTATAACCCTCTTGAAATCCACTGGCATAGAGCTGTAAGGTCTCTTTGGTTTTTTGTTCCATGGTTCTGCTTCTAAAACCACTTGCTACACTGATGAGAACAACGTGACCAGTAGAGACTTTTAGGGCCAAGTAGTGATAAGAAAAATTTGTATGAGACTTTCTAACTGAGCACATAAATTTTTGGTAAAGTCATTTTTAGTAGCTTAAAATAATTTTTCTATACTTCCTCATCTCATGTATGCTGTTAATTTACTTAGAAGAGATCATTTTATAGCATTCATGACATAAACCTGTAGCCTATGCCTTTTTCTGAAATAGTTCAGCCTAAATTAATATATTTGAATGTGGAAGAGGATATAGTGTAAGTAGAAATGGCAAATACATGGCAATGTACTATCACTTCCCATTCCCATACTCAAGGTAAACATCTCTAATCAATCACGAATCTCTTTCCTGCTGAATGAAGCCTTAGAATTCTTTTCAATATAGCACTAGACAGGCACTCTCAAGAGAATCAGAGTTGTACTTGAGGTGACATTCCTAATATAGAACTGGCTTTGAAATCAGACGGTTTCTGTTCATATTCTAGTTCTACCATTAGCTGTATAATATTAGAAATTCAAGTTTTCTCATCTCCAAAATGGAGATAATAATCAATATCTTGTGGGGCTTTCTTGATTATTATACTTATTTTAAATGTAAAGAGCTTGTACCATATAAGATTTCAATAATTATGGTTATTATTATTCCATTGGTAAGAATATACAATTTCTTCACTTTTTGCTCTTCATTGTACTTTTCTAGATGGCCTTTTGGGTGAACTGGAAAGTTGCTTTTCTGATGTTTTCCTCTGCCCATACTTCATCTTTGATCCTTAGCCAATTTTTTTTTAATCCTTAGTTCCTGAGAAATGAAGAGTAAGCTTTCTCCTTTAAGATCTTGATTGGCAACTTCCAGTATCTTGTTACTGTAATTTCTCACATGAAAACTATTTAGCAGCCATCTCAATTATGACCAAATAATTTAGACCAGCTGAGTCTTCATATATCAGAAAACTTTTTAAATTGTATAGAAGCAAGTTTGAGAAAGTTTGCATTGGCAGATTTCTCTCTACTCCTACTACCTCCCTCCCCCTTACCACCAGTTAATTTGATGCACAGACTTACCTTAAAAACAGTTTTTAGAGTTTCATGCTCAGTAAATCATGTAGTATCTGGTACAAGAACCCAGAAAATAAGTTTTAGTATTAAGGGACACAAGGAAACTTAGTGCTAAGACTACCCTTTATTCACGTGAACATGCTGTGTGCCATCAGGAGCAGTTTTGAAATGAAATTCTCTCCAGAGAAGGAAACAGTGTTCCTCAGCTCAGGTCCCCACATTTAAATTTACTATCCACACAAGAGAAGTAGATAGTTCAGAGTCCTTGAAATCAATTAGAAAAAATACTATTTAAATTATTCCAATACAAATTGAAATGTTTCCACTAAATTTTGAAACTAAGAAAAGCTCTCACTATTTTTGGGTTTGTTTGTTTTAACAGAGTAGTAAATTACAGTATAGATTTATTTAGCAGTACAGATTTGGCCCAAATTTATAGTCATTAAAGTTCTATCTTTATAAGGCTGTCACCCAGGCTGGAATGCAGTGACACAATTACAGCTCACTGCAACCTCAACCCCTGGGCTCAGGTGACCCTTTTGCCTAAGCCTCCCAAGTAGCTGGGACTACAGGTGCAGTCACTATGCCTGGCTAATGTTTTGATTTTTTTTTTTTGTAGATATGAGGTCTCACTATGTTGCCTGGGCTGGTCTTGAACTCCTAGGCTCAAGCAATCCTCTCACCTTGGCCTTCGAAAGTATTGAGATTACAGGTGTGAACCACTGGGCCTGGTCTAATGTTCTATATCTTGATTGTGGTAGTGGATACTTTGCCCAAATTCATTAAATTGTATACTGAAAATAGTGCATTCCTTGTATAAAGCTGAGCTAAATACAGTTGATTTAAAGAGGTAACTTAAAGGACTCAAGACTCAGGGTGGGTCTCTGCATTTCAAGTATCAAGGTACTTTTCTGCAGGGGCCCGGGAGAGCCGGAACAGACTGTGCCTTGGATTGCGGCTCTGGGATAGGAAGGGTCAGCAAGCACGTCTTGTTGCCGGTTTTCAACAACGTAGAACTAGTGGACATGATGGAATCTTTCCTCCTTGAAGCCCAGGCCTACCTGCGGGTCAAAGGGGACAAGGTAGAAAACTACCACTGCTACAGCCTGCAAGAATTCACACCCTCCTCTGGGAGATATGATGTCATCTGGATTCAGTGGGTTTCTGGTTAGTACTGCATGGCCTTGCCTCTGTCCTTCCTCCCTTCCCAGTTAGAGAAGATGACACTTGGGGCTAATGAGGGCACAGGGAAGGTTTAACTGTGCTCAGAGCAGTTAGCTAGCCTTAGGTGTTATAGGAACATCCAAAAAGTTCTGTGTCCTCCAGATTTCTCCCCTAACATTCTCTGTTCAAGAATTTAGGTTGGTTCTCGAACAAATCTGATGGAGCAAGTGCATTTGTATCAACCTAAATCCTTGAAGAAATGTAAATATTTGAAAAAATTTAAAAAGTGGGGTCAAAAAAGATTAATCCCCATTTATTGGCAGAATTAGATATTCTTGGATTTAAATCCCCAAGAACTGAGACAGCAGTGAATTAGATTTCGGTGTGTGTGTGTGTGTGTGTGTGTGTGTGTGTGTGTGTGTGTGTGTGTGAGAGAGATGAAGTAGTAAAGGGGTTCTCCAGGGGACACGGAGGGACTCACAGGGTAGACAATGATGTATCACATGCTTGTGAAGTAAACAGGCCAGGTGGTACAAAATTATTTTATAGACAGGGGACTGGGCCTCCTTCAAGGGGATATGCATCCTCTTATCTAAATTCTCAAAGCCTTCTTTAACCAAACAAGACTGTGAAATAATTTATGAATTCAGGTCTGCTGATTCTTAGCCCTGTGTTCTTCCCTGCTTACGTCCTTCTCTCCCCATCACCTCATCCTGTTTCCCCGTCCACTTGGTCCCACCTGTAGGGCACCTGACTGATAAGGACCTTCTTGCATTTCTTTCCCGGTGCCGAGGTGGCCTGAAAGAAAATGGCGTCATCATCCTGAAGGACAACGTGGCACGCGAGGGCTGTATCCTGGATCTTTCTGACAGCAGTGTGACTCGGGACATGGACATCCTCCGGAGCCTCATAAGGAAGAGTGGGCTGGCGGTGCTGGGCCAGGAGAAGCAGGACGGCTTTCCGGAGCAGTGCATGCCAGTGTGGATGTTTGCACTGCACAGCGATGGATGCTCCTGAAGAGCAAGGGGGATGAGCAGGATGGGCAGCAGTGCTCTGGGACGGAGGTGCGCTCCTCGGGCGCCCCTTGTAACGCTGACAGGGATGGAGAGGAGGGATACACAATGCATGTCGGGAAATGACTGATGATGTAGCATGCATGAATCTTCACTAATCCGCACACATTCTGAGACATGCACATTCTCTGTGGATTTTCTGAGAAAAAGATGAAGTGACACATCAAGAAAAGTGCTTTAAGAAACTGCTTGTGTGTACCTAAAATGTACAAGTATGTATGGCCTCATCAATATTTGTAAAAATGGTCTTTCTCAACATCTTAGGCAAAAATATTTTTTCCCACAAGATGAAATCAATATTCTGTGAAGCAAGGGAAACAAATTTTGAGGTGGTTCAAATAAAGCATTTGTTTACTAAAAAAAAAAAAAAAAAAAAAGAAAAAGAAACAATGCCCACCAATTCCAAATGGCCTGAGTTCTTGGTGATTGATGTTAGAGAGTAGTCCAGGGTGGTTGAGAGAAAATCTCGACTCCTTCCCCTGCCCCCATGCCAGCCACATTGTACTTCCTTCCTTGTTAGTACTACTGCTTCTCTTGAACAAATCTCTCTCCCTAATTAAGAATGCACTAATGAAAATAATCTTATGAAATCAAGTTCATTATTTAATTTTGCCTTTAGCTGTTCTCTTGGCAGAAAAAGTATGTAGTTTCACTTTCTATTTTGAGTCAGTTTCCCTAACCAATGATGTAATTTGATAGTAGAGTCTGCATTACAGTGATGGGGAAGTGTCTCCTTTCAGGAGAAAATGTCGTACCCTGAAATTTCAGCCTCAAACATATAAGCAAATGTCATTGATAATCTAATTTTAGCCTCAGGTTTCCAACCCTACTTGCTTCATTGCAGCAGCTCCTGGTTCCTTGACTGAAATGAATTTATATTGGAGAGAGAAGCAGCAAAGTAAATGAACAAGGAAAAGATAAGCCTGTACATTAAACTAGCTGGATTTTAATATAAGGCATTGGTTTAATTTAAAAAATCTAAAATATTTTAAAAGAAAAATGTGACCAGGCACGGTGGCTCATGCCCACGATCCAGCATTTTGGGAGCCTGAGGTGGGAGGATAGTTTGAGCCCAGGAATTTGAGATTAACCTGGGCAACAGAGCAAGACCTTATCTCTAAAAAAAAAAAAAAAAAAAAAAATTAGCCAGGTGTGGTGGCACACACCTGTAGTCTGGCTATTTAAGAGGTTGAGCCCAAGAGTTGGAGGCTGTGGTGAGTTGTGATCATGCCACTACACTCCAGTCAGAGCAACAGAGTGAGACCCTGACTCAAAAAAAAAAAAATTTAATTCAGAATGTTTAAATATAACTACTATTGTCTTTAACACCCTTCAACATTTTCATGTTGAAGCACATATTTGTGTTTTGAAATATAATGAGTCTTCCATGAAATGTGAAAAATCAATTCAAGTGAAGAAGATACTGCATAGATATGCTACCACCATAAGGTTCATATTTTCAAGTCATAGCTCTTATTAAAGAGGAAAATAATTATTAGAAAAAATTTAATACTTCATTGTAGCTTTGTCTTGATAATTTCATTTTGTGTGTGGGAAAATATTTTGTCACCTACTCTGCCCTTGACACCTTCCAGCTGTTGTACATTACTCATCTTGCTCTAGGGTAACATAAGAGAATGTCAGAACCTGTGGCGATCAAGACAGAGACCAGCACTAGATCAAATGATAAGTCAGTACCAAGCACACTAAGTGTGGCAAAATAAGGTACTCATGTTTTATTCATCTGTAAGTCTTAAAGTAAATTAGCAGAATCTTCTTTTTAAGGTCCATTCTGGGAATTTTATTTTTTACAACTATCATTCTTAATTCTCTTACATCTTGACTTTCTGTTTTGCCACTATTCAGAGACTGATTTACACAGCTGTCAATTTTCTCTGCTTTTGAGTTTCTGAGTATATGGAGGGAAACACATACTAGAGGGACCCCCCCAAAAAAACCCCGGAATTATCTTTTAGAGGGTGGGCCCTTTGTAGTACATTCAGAATTTGTTCCTTTGGATCAAATGGTCAACTAAAGTTTTTACCTGGAAGTTTGGAGAAAGTTGCATCATGATTTACAGAAGAAATGTCTCTAGTTTTGACAAACAGGTGACTTGTTCTTTCACCACAACAATGCACCTGCCCATACCACACTGAGTGTTCAGCAGTTTTTGACCAAAATCAGCATGACCCCTGTACCCCACCCTCCCTATTAACCCGATCTTGCCCTGAGTGACATTTTTTTTTTCCTGGATGAAAAAAGTCCTCAAAGGGAAATGTTTGGTTAATGTGGAATAGAGAAAACAGAAAACAGCAGAAGCACTAAAAGGCATCAAAACTGACAAGTTCAAAAGCTGTCTGGAGAGTGGAAAAAGTGTCTCCATAGGTATATCGCATCAAACAAAGAGTACTTTGAAGGTGACTAAAGTTTAAACATATAAGAATAAATACACAATTAAAAAAAATAAATTCTATTTTTTGGGGTCTTCCATCATAATTGTCCTGTAGGTAATGATATATATTCTTCAACTCAGTTGTCTTCGATTTTGATCATCAGTTTCTTTTTTCTTTCAAGTCAAGTCACTTATCATTCTCCTTAGAAATTTTTCAGATCTTTGTCACTCTACACAATTTCCCAACTTTGTATCTATTCTTAACTCTCTTCCCATTTAGAAAAAAAAGTGCAGCTCGCTGCTGCATTCATTTTAGTTTACATAAGCATGTTCTTTGAGGCTGAGCAAATCTGACTGGCTTTCAATGTGAAAATAAAATATAAAAACTGTTCTTGGAGTTATTTCTAGACAGAACTTGTTTCTAATCCTAATGAGAATTAGAGAGAGAAAGAACTACTATATTTTGTTGTTCTTTTATTTATTTATTTAATCTTAGGGTAAATGCTGCAGCTGTAAGAACCACTGGTGAGTATCCTTGGGTTAAATGGGAAAAGGATTAACCCAGAAAGTAGAAATTGTGAGTAAACTGTATCAATATCCCCCTTCTGTACTGGTAATAATAGGTACAAGGCAAAGAGGAGAGTGATTTGAGAGGAACTGAAGCCTGATCATGCTGCCTAATAGGCTACAGTAAGGTTTGGAAATGTTTTTCAAAGAACAAGTATAAGGGCATGAAGGGTGCAAGCAAAGATTGAGTTTTCTGGTCCTGGTAGTCGAGTCGTAGACACTGTGGAAGGAAGGCATTTTGAGCAAGACCTACTGCAGCTCTCTTCAATCTAATTGAGTAAGCTAGACACACTGCTTGTGCTTGTCAACATGTCTGGAAGCTAGTGGTATAAGTGACAGCCTACATTTTCCCCACATTATTGATCCATAGTCCAGCTGCCTCAGAATCATTTGAGGAAACATAGAGCTTCTCAGAACCCAACCCCATGATAGTTTGATTCTATGAAGTAGAATCTCATAATTGTATTTTTTATAAGGGTTCAAATAGATTCCGACCACTAGTTTTGTTTGAAGACACTGTTAGGGAAAAGGATGTGGAGTTGGGCTCTTCAGAACCACAGAAAGGTAAGGTAAGTAGGCACGCAAGAGCATGGGCCAGGTTTATAAGTTTATGGAGGAAAAAACATACTAGGGGGGACCCCCCATAAACTGGAATTATCTTTTGGTGGGTGGGTCCCTTATAGTACACTCAGAAATAACTGCATGGTAAAATTCATTCTCCACAGTAATGGCAGTTTTTCTAAAATATGAACCTGACCATGTCATGAATAAATTTTCAATGACTCCCCATCACCTACGGGATGAATTCCCATCTCCTTAGAATGGCATACACACCCTTTGTGATTGTGTCCTGGCCTCTCTCTCCACTTCTGCAGCTGTGCTTAACTACTTGTAGTTCCCTGAAGGAGCCATGATTTATGTCTCAGCACATTTATAGATGTTACTTCTTTAGCCTAGAATACATTTCATTCTTTCTTGTCTGACCCAGACTGTTTGGGTGTTGCTGACTCTAGAAAAGCCTTCCTTACCCCTCAACTGCGAGACTAAGCACCCCATTCTGTGCTGCTCTCTGCTTACTCTTATCACAGCACTTAGCATGTGGCATCACAATTATCTGTTTGCTTGCCATAGTTTTCTATTCAATTTGAGCTCCTTGGTGGACTATTTCTGCTTAGAATCTCAGTTTCTACCATAGGCCACAGTACACTGAAGGAACTCAAAACTTTGTTGAAAGAATGCAAGGTGACACTAAAAAGTAGAAGACTTGAGGACCATCTCGATTTTTTGGAGGCAACAAACAAGAATAAGAGTAAAACAGCAGGAAAAGTCAAGGATTTCTGAAGTTCCATGAGCATTGGGATGTTCAAGACGGTCAAAACAGCACAAACAATGCAAGTGGAAAGAACTAGGAAATATGCAGAAACAAGAAGGCAATGAGCTCTGGGATCAGGCATCTGGGAGGATATTATAGCAAGAAAATTATGTTCTGAGGTAAAATCTTGCCGAGTTAGGAAATCTCTCTTTCACTCTGTTTTAATAGGCACCAACCCAAGGGTATGGACCACCTGAAGTCCATTGTTTCGTTAGGTATATATACTTGATAAAAGAGAGATATTAAAATTGTGAGTATGTTATAGCTAAGTAATTCCTAATCCTCACCCATTTCTAGCTAAGCAAGTTGTCAGAAGAAACTAACTAGGTTCTAGATAAAGTTAATCCTTCTGTGAATGTTGAATAGTAGGTTCTTACCTGACTTCACAGATGAATTAATTGCAAACATGCCTGCAATTCTAGATGAACTTTGGAGGACCCTTTGGTTTATTTAGTGATTCATGAATGAGGGCAATCTTCACCTACCTCCTCTTCTGAGGACCTGAGCACCACTCCTAAGCACCAGTAGAGAAGCATGCAAAATCTTAAAGGGTCAGCAATTTTATATATTTGGGTTCATCATAAAACTATAAAACAAAGGGAATAAGGTCACCCATGTGAAAGATGATCTGCTTTGTATTA